AACGGGTTCAGGTCGCTGGTCTCGCTCGAAAGGTCCATGATAGCGGATCTGTAGCCAGTGTTTTCAATGGGCTCGTCGACACCACCAAGGCAGCTGGCAAAATTAAGACTGACAAAACCATGCTGGACTGTCGCTGCCCCACGTGATGGAACACCGACTTTGACTGTCTAAACGCCCACAGCATTTTCAAAGTCGCTGTCAAACAACTCACTGCCACTTCGGCTCTCAAATTATCCTCATTTTGATTGACTGACGAGCAGTGGGATCTCATAGATGAGCTTTCTGATGTGCTAAGTGTACGTTCTACCGATGACTCTAGCCTGATTTGCTTCTCACTTCAAATTACAGCTCTTTGACAAAATGACCTTGCATTTTTCTCAATCAGAAACTCCTCTAATCTCGGATTTGATCAGTGCGCTTGAGGACCTACTTACCTCACTTAGAAATGTCCGCAACGATGAGATGTCAGATGTGGTGCACATAGCGGGCTGTGCGGATGTGATGGTGGCGGAAAAGTATATTTCATTGACTGACAAGTGCGAAGTGTATTCAATTGCCATCAGTATGCTTTACTCGCTGTCTTGCCGAACTTATCTAAATTATATCACCAGTCATGTCCCCCGACAAGAAGCTTGACTGGTTCCGTGGTCGCAAGTGGAAAGACGAAGATATTGAGCAGATCAAGAAGCTAGCAATCGACCACTGGGAAGAGTCATACAAGGCCTTCAGCAAAGTATATACAGCTCCACCGACAGCCGAAGCATCTAGCAGCACCTCTGCTGGAAAGGTAAATTTATTCCGTTCACGTTCACCTCAAATCTGTGTGCTGCACTCAGAAATATTATTTAACGACACAATTGATGGAACACTGTTCCCACAACAATCACAACAACTCCAAACGGCCCCGATACAACACAGGCCTATCTTGCTGAACCTCCCATTTTGACGAGCTCATTGGCGGCTCTCAGCGGACCCATCAGCTATTGGTTCCTACAAGAGGAATCAACGCCGTCGCTGGCAAGAATGGGCTCAGATTTTTGCTCTGCACCGGGTATGTCATCTTGAATTGTGTTCATTTGTTGTGTTCATTCTGCCTTCAGCAACCTCAGTGGACGCTGTGAGCTATCACTTTGTGATTAGCTCCAGACACTCTTCCATGCAGAACAAAAGCGCCTTTCAGAACCACCGGCAAAGCATGGTCACTGGTGCACTCGCAGATTGGAAATTACTGATGGAAATCACTGGCGCACTTTGACTGGCCCCGGAGGTTAGAATTCATCTGCCGCAGAAACCACTGGCACGCTGGCATTCAAAACTACTGGCGCACTTAAGAACAAAGAACGGCGCGCTTTCGCAAATAAAAAGAGGTAGCTTTGTTCCTTGAACAAAGCTACCGCTTTAAAGGCCAGACCCCGAGTCGAATGAGGGTAGCGGATCGAATACTGCCAATCAAACATCCGCGCACTAACCGCTGTGCTATCTGGCTGTGACGACTTAAAACAAATTGCGCAGAACTATCAAACTGTAAAAAGAGCGCCGCGCACCCCGCGACATGTCTAATTAGGCATTCGGGACACATATTTCATCTTTTTTGAGCAGACGGTTCGGTTAAATAGACCCATAAAGTCTTCTAGTGTGTGGTTCGCATGGTTTAGATGGAAGAGTCAAGTCAACCAGTTGATTTCAACATGCTCGCCAAAAAATGCCCCGTAGTGGGTTTTAAATTTTCTGGGGGCGATATACAGTCATCTGCGTTTATTGTGTTCATTGAAAAACATGTCAGTCTCCCTGCATCAAAAACTGCGGCACTTGAAGGTAACCTGAAAGTGCTAGCGCGAATTTACTGCACGGCAAGCCCGATTTCCCAGTGCATTGAAAATAAGTTTATTTCGTTGTTTTGGCTCTATGAGTAATTGCATATGAATTAGCCCGAATTATCTAGCATACTTGCAGCCCAAACGGTGCAGAACTGAGCGAGATAGGGTGAATTCTTTCAGAGATGTCAAAAACCTCCAAATTTAGAAAATTCTGATCCTCGCCTTTGGTACTGTCGTTGGCTGTAACCACCACCACCACATAAAAATATCACTCCGTAGAAGTAAAGAGCGCCACTAGCCCGATTATTTCCCCCTAGAGGACAAATAAAACTATTGTATTTCAGTTTGACCGTAATTCCACGGGCAGATTCGAGTACAATAACCGCAGTCCACATCACAACGCCAAACGTTCGTTCTCTGTGGGTCGGCGAAAACTGGGGTGTATGCAGCACAATACCGCCAAACAAACCTTCCACAGTTCAATGGCCATCGGGTCACGGGATGACACTCCCTTGTTTCCTGATCTCAACCCCGCAATCAAAATCCTTGAGCAGGCGATGGAACGGGGGTGGCATGATGATGATTAATACATTTTAACATTGTATAGATCGAAGTAGGACTAGTAGATATTGCATTGATTTGATCTTCCCGCTTGAGATCAACAGTGCACTGTGGTAGCCAACTCAGGGGTAGTGAACCACAGTTAACCATAGTCGACCCGCGGTATAAACCATGGATAGGGGGCCATCAGATCTATCCGTGGTTTTCAGCCGGTAACTTACCGGTTCTCCCATGCTAGTCCCTATGCTCACACACCTCAATGTCGCGCTGCTTATGTACCCTAACGTTGTGATGCCGACGGATGAGCACGAGGACTTTTGCCCTCGTTCATGTGCGCGGTCTCTCAAAGGTACGTGCGCTTCCATCATTTCTTTCTTCCTCACGCCCACACATTTACAGCGCGGCCTTGGCTTCCACGATCCCTCCTTTGCCTCTATCTCTTTCTATCCCCCTGTCCTCCCTGCCCTCATCCACACATTCCTTAGGCTGATTCACACCCTGCCGGGTCGACTTGAGTTGACGTGCCTCAAACTCAGTTGTGCTTGGCACAGGTGTATCGGCATACATGAATCGGCACACGTGAATGTGGTGTACAAACTTATTCTGCACGTGCAGTCGATGCGGACACCGGTATTACATATGTGCACCACCTGGTAATCCCACACACCAGGTCCAATTAGACCTAAGATAGAGAGCGTTGTGAGCGGTCACTTTGTGATGTGCTCCGAACGCAGCCAAACCGGAGGAAAAACAAGCTTTCACAATCATGACTCCGTATCCAAGAATATGACAACTTCTGCACCTCCAAATACAAGCAGATTTAAAAAGACTCACATCATTCCACAAGGCCAGACTCCGAATTGAACGGAGAGCTCGCGAAGGGCCAATCTACATGCTCATGCATTTTACCCGTTGTGAGCTATCACTTTGTGATGTGCTCCCTCCGCAGGCCAAAACAGCAAATATGCGAGTGCGGAGCAAAACGAAGAAAAAAGGCTGACACAAATTCCACACCACCTGACTCCGAATCGAACAAAGGGCATGAACGAAAATGCGCGGACTCACAACAAAAAAGATCATGCAAAAAAAAGTGGTTAAATTTCAACGGCTGAACCTTGATTCGAACAAGGGTCACGCAGTGAGTAGTCGATGAAACGGTTCAACGAATCTGCATGTGCTACCAACTGCACCATTTGACCATAATAGCTGGACACTGAGGAGGAGCAAAAGCGGAAGCCTAGGAAATTGCGGAGCAGTCAATGCGAAGATGGCACCATTCAGACCTAGCCAGGGGACTGGCCATTACGTGGACCCATAGTCACTAAAGAACAAAGCGCGGAAGGAAAGGCGGAGCGAAGTGCGGAATGGATATCCAAACGCTGAACAAGTTGCGGAGTCGGCCCGGGCGGACCGGGGCGGTGGAGGACAGGCCTGGGACAAATAAGTTGCGGAATGCGTATGGGAAGAAGGTTGAAAGACCGACAACCCCATTCTTGTTGCGGAAACACATGGAGATCTGCGGAGCGAGGCAGCACAGGCGGAAAAGGAAACAAGTACGCGCGCGAGCGTCGGGCGGGAATTAGTATAAATAGCTGCGATCTAATACTGGAAAATTATCTTATTACCTCCCACTGCTCATACCTAAAAGCTACTCCTCCCCAGTACGTCGGGGTGGAGACTTAAAAATATAAATACATTCCGCTGCGGGTTACGCCGCTCAATAGTGGGACAAACCAAGGTCAACTAGGACCAGGGGCATCAAGAAAACCTGTCCGCACAGTCCTCCCGCTCGATAATTCGAAGCGGAAGGGAATTCTGTTACTCTGGAGTTGAAAGCGCGCGGTAGTAGAATACGCGGCATACCACCAAACGGCCAGCAGCCTAACTTAGCTGCGTGCAACCGTTAGATTTGGGATTCGATTGCATAACCTTGCACGGAATACCATCCCATCGTTGCGGAACGGTCACTCCGCACGACTATAACCACTTCCCACCTACGAATTCACATCACTTCACCCCGAGCTGACTTGCGGAATCGACTCCGCAATATATATATAGGCGTTCACAGCGGAGAAAGAAAGCGGGTTACGAAGTATAACACTATAACTTGTCCACACTGTGTTATACAGTGCTGAAGACACCTGCCGTCCGCATTATACGAGACGGGTGGAAAAGTATAACCCACATACCTCTTGCATCCCGGCGCGGATTAGCCTTCGCATTGCGGAGCAGTACCTTCGCGCAAGTGTAGAAAGCTATCCGACCGTGGCTTGTTTGAAAGGCCAGCCCCCAACGAAGAAACAAATCTTTGAGGAACCTGGCGAACGTTCACTCTTTGCGGAGAGAACTGTAACACAAACCTGTAACTTTGAGAAAAACCATTACACATACCTTCGCTGCACAAATCTCCGCGACAGAGTAATTTCCTCCTAGAGGACGAATTACAACCCTGTGACCCCTGCCTGACTTTACCCACCTGGGTCAGACAAATCACAGAACCGCAGTCCACATCACACCGTGTTAACCACTACACCACCAGGTCGTAACGGTTAGGGTGAAAGGGCCGAGAAACGGACAAAAATGACACGGACCTGAATTAAAAAGTTCACTGGATTAAATCAATGGCCAGACTCCGAATCGAACAGAAAACTCGTGAAGGAGTGCTAAACTGACGTGGGCAGTTCACACGTGTTAACCCTTACACCACCAGGCCATTGCCCTTCAACTCCGAATCTAAAAGAAACACAGATTCTGTTTTGAAATAAAAAAAACCCGATATTCGCGCCCAAGGCCGGACCCCGAATCGAACGAGAAACTTGCAAATGAAAACTTGGGTGATTCAAGTTAATAGCATGTGTTACTATTGTACCACCAGGCCGTGATTCCAATAGCAAAACAGGGAGCTAACTCATAAAATATAGACACATTGCGGGAAGGCTGAACCCCGAATCGAACGGAGGTCCTGCGGCGAGTAGGCCATGAAGTTGTTCTCAACGCAACCGCGAGTGCTACCAACTGCACCATTTGGCCGTGATTTGGAGACGCACTTGCTCACCTATGATTTGGACTCCGGGAAACTTGAGGAGGCACGGAAAATTCCAATGCAGAGACGGACCGATGGTGGGCCGGCATATGGAGTGAGCTCTTGGAAAATGGGGTGACCAAACAGGAAACAGAGAGGGCACAAGGCAACTCCGAATCAATTGTCAGCCCCTTCAAACTTGGGGAGCACATGGAGATCGACGTGGCGAGTCAGAATGGAAACAGAGGAGGGCTCCGTTTCCTAAATGAGGAGTTATTATGTGTGCGAGTATCAGACAGAGAACAGTATAAAAGCCAGCTGTATGATATGGAATGACCATCTATTACCTCCCACTGCATATACCTAAAGCTACTCCCCCTGAAGTACACCAGGGTGGGGATTTAAATTGAATACACTCCGCTAAGGGTCGTGCCGCCTAATAGTACAACAAACCAAGGTCACCTAAAGGCCAGGGCTTGTCAAGGAACCCCGTCCATCTCACCTCCGTTTCGATAAACCGATACGGAGGGAATATAGTCAATCCGGAGGGGAAAGAGCACGGTAGCAGATTACGCAGCACACCACTAAACGGCCAGTAGCCTAACTTGGCTTCGTGCAACAGTTCTCATTCGGAGTTCGAACACATATCCTTGCAAGGAACCCACCACATCATATACGGAAGGCCTATCCTACACGATCATACCATTTCCCCCATTTATTTTGCACACTTCACCCCTGAGTCTATGAAACGGAAGCCACTCCGTTTTAAGGTGTTCACAAACGGAGAAACCAGGCTACAAAGTCACTATAGCCATCTGTACCGTGTTACACCGTACTGAAGAGACCTGCCGTCCGATACATTTGAGATGGGTGGATAAAGTATGACAGATAACCCGAGTATTCCAGAACTGAAACAGCATTCACATTGCAGAGTGTACCCTTTGAGCAAGTGTAGAAGACTATCCATCTGCGGTTTATTCGGAAGGCCAGCCCCAAACGAAGAACTAAATCTTTGAGGAACCTGGCAAAGTGTTCACTCCATACGGAGAGGACTGTAAGTACACACACACACCACACAATTATATATACTGAGCATTAGCGTACTATAAAAACTACGCAGCTCCATGACAGAGCAATTTCCTCCTAGAGGACGAATTAAATTCTGTAAACACTACTTGACTATACCCACCCCAGGTCAGGCAGTTTGCAGAACCGCAGTCCGCATCACATCGCTCATCTGTAATGAAAAACCTACCCGTCCCCTTCTGCTGCAGCTCTGAGGCCGGCGAGATGGACACCCCAACTGTCACTGTCAGTGGTTTGCGGAGATCGTATGTAGCATCATCTAGCCATCGCTTCGAAGCTTTGCTTTCCAGGAACGCAGGGCCAACCGAGTGTGTCACCACCGAATCCTGTATTTCAACCTCAACGTCTGCGAGATCATACTCCACCAGGATGTCGTGACACTGGGAGACGACAACAACACCTTTATCAGCGCAACAGGGTTTCGGGCATGACACCGATCCAGAGTACGACAAATGCAAAGGAATCTGAGTCTTCGGGGACGGTGATGCGCATGATATCAGTGGATGTCCATTTTACATCCAATGAATCCAGCAGGGTGTGGATTTTGAGGGCAAGGTCGTCCTCCCAGACCTCCCTTAGCGGATGGTTTCTGACCGAGCAAAGCTCCTTGGGTTTGGGGATTTGCCACAGTCCTTTAGGCAAGGACCATGGGGCGCTGGTGCGGGCGACCAAGCACAGGTTTGAGGGCAGGCCACGATAGTATAATGCAGATTTGAGATCAGATGGAGGGAAGGATGGGAGGGACATGTTGACACAAGACGGGTAAGTGCGACTTGTCAACATTCCGCCGCTCGCCCCTGTCCCGATTTGGAGATTTGATGTCGGCAGAAATTGCGGATCGATTCGAGATCAATGATGTCACACACGGCCCGAGACCGCAAGTAAAGAAAATCTGAAAGCCTGCAAGCCTTTGCCTCAGAAGGTAGTGCAGGAGGGGAGAGTGCTCTGCCCACAGACCCCCCCCCCCCCCCCCCCCCCTCTGCATAATGGTATGTTCACATCATTGAATTCACGTGAAAGTGAAGACACAAAGAATTCCACTGTTTGTCTTGTACAACTTATTTGTCCATCTTCAGATAGCCTTTGGTAATCCCGCGGGTTGCGGTACTCACGGTGTTAGGAAAATCAACTACCGTACCCGCACCCGCGGCACCCGTACCCGTGTTACTGCGGGTTTACCCAAACCCGTGTCATACACTACTAGTGAGTGGTGTTGTGATGTGGACTGCGGTTATTGTACTCGAATCTGCCCGTGGAATTACGGTCAAACTGAAATACAATAGTTTTATTCGTCCTCTAAGGGGAAATAATTGGACTGATGGCGCTCTCTACTTCTACAGAGTGATATTTTATGTGGTAGTGGTAGTTAATACAGATTTCTTGTCCGTGAGTAGCAGATTTTGAGAAAGGCGCTAAGTTCCTCGAGAGTTTGGTCTCTCGTTGGGGGCTAGCCTTCCGAGAAAGACGCGATGGGAGATTCTTCTACAGTCACGCGAAGGATTGGCGCTCCGCAATGCAAAGTACGCTCCTACTTGGTGGACCCGGGTAATGTGGTGTTTTCATATCTCCTTGCTTCGTATAGAGCGCGCAAGCAGTTTCTTCAGAACTGGGTAAACACAGCGCCGTCAGATTGTAGCGCGCTCCTTCGCAATCTGAATATTGGTGCGTGCACGAATAGCCAGGTGCGAGGCGCCTTTTTAGCTAGTCGAGTGAAGTGCGCCGAAATGGACGGGGGAAATAGTATAGTCAATTTGGTAAAGACGCCTTCTCGATAATGCGCCCTACGCACGCAAAGTGTGCATTATGAGCGCCAAAAGTCAACAGTTACACGCAGCCTCGGTAGGTCTGCTGGCTGTTTAGAGGGTCGCGCTGCGCTTTTCTTCAACCAAATGCACGCTTCAACACTTTATTTCCAATATGTCCTCCTTTCTTTGTCTTGGAGGTCTATTGCACAGTTTCTATTCTGTACAACCATGGTCAAGGTGACCCTGTTACCCCACTCGTGAAGGCACACTAATTCATTTTATTTGACAATGTACTGGATTAGCGCCTCCCGTTTTTAATGGGAGCACCTTTCCTTTAGCAGTAGGCAGTGGAGGTAATTAGATGCCTCTCTCTTCTTCGTGCCGCCCTTTATATACCCTTTCCTGCTTCCCCATTGGTCTAACTCCGGCGCCTTTCTTCCCAAGCGCACTTGCACCTTTTTTATCAAACCGCGCCGGCCTTCTTTTTAAACAGCGCCCGTGCCTTTTTCTTCAAACTGTGCCGGCCTTTCCTTTAGACAGCGTCTGCGCCTCTTTCTTCAAACTGCGCCCGCGCCTTTCTTCCAACAGCGCCCGTGCCTTTCTTCAACCAGCACGTTGTTTTCTCGTATATGTTGTTGCTGTTCCCCAGTCCCTAGCTATCACGGTCAGATAGCACAGCGGTTAGTGCACAGATACTTGATGAGTTCAAGGGCAATATTCAATCCGCTACCCTCGTTCGACTTGAGGTCTGGCCGTGGAAAATTTAACCACTGTGCTGTGCACAAAGTGTTTGTTATGAAGTGCTTAGGGCTGGAAGAAATATTGATAGGGAAGGACGAGTCAGAAGGGAGTCATTAACGGTCAAACCACTTAGAGTCAGAGTGAGAGTCAGTAGGAGTAGAGTCACGAATCTGAGTCATTCTGAAATAGTATATAAGGGCAGCTTGAGAAGGCTGTTTCTGACTTTCCCCCCCTGTATTACACTGTAGGGTCCGAGTCACAATTTATTTTCTTCAAACTTTACTTTGTGTGCTTCAGTTCTTAATCCTCTTGAGATTTATTTACGAAGCCACTCACCGAACCGAGAAATCACCAACTGAAACCGCCGTTGCCGCTGTCCGAACCGTTCCTGTCGCCGCCCGAACTTAGCTATCCGGACCGAACCGGGTCTTAGTCCGCTTTCTTCCGCCGCACAGCCGCTTACGAGGCTCAACCGAATCGAGCACTACTACGCCAACTTCTTAAAAAGGAAATTCGTTAAGGCTAAAAACACTCTTCCAAGAAACTCTAGAATAATATTCATTCATACGTTTCTTGAAAGCAACTTATTTCACTCAGCACACCACTTCTTTTTTCCTAACTCAGCGCCTTTTTAACTCGCACGCTTTTCCGGTAGTCTTCGTCACAAGTACGACCCGGCACGTGTAATTAATGTGTGAAAGGTTGTTGATTTAATATGACGCCCTTTTCTTGTCGCAGTGCTTTTCCATCTTCGGGGTGCACGGCGCTCTTTTACAGTTTGATAGTTCTGCGTGTTTCGTTTTAAGTCATCGTGGCCAGATAGCACAGCGGTTAGTGCGCGGATGTTCAATTGGCAGTATTCGATCCGCTACCCTTGTTCGACTCGGGGTCTGGCCTTTAAAGCTGTAGCTTCGTTCAAGGAACAAAGCTACCTCTTTTTATTTGCGAAAGCGCGCCTTTCTTTTCTGAATCATCTGTGAGTACGCCAGTGGTTTCGAATGCGGGCGTGCCCTTGTAATCTTTGAGTGCACCAGTAATTTCCACGAGTGAGTGCGCTGTTAACTTCCAAAAGTGTGCCAGTGATTTCGAATGCGAGTGCGCCCTTGTAATCTTCAAGTGCGCCAGTAATTTCCAAAAGTGAGTGCGCAGTTAACTTCCAAAAGTGCGCCAGTGATTTCCAATCTGCGAGTGGGCTAGTGACCATGCTTCGCCCGTTGTTCTGAAAGGTGCTTTTGTTCTGCGCGCAAGGGTGTCTAGAGCTAATCACAAAGTGATAGCTCACAGCGTATGACCCAACCCGAATCGAACAGGGGCCTTTCGCTTAAACTATGTGACTTTCTCGGAAAGTAAAGCAAATGCACTAACCACTGTGCTGTTGGACCACTGATCCAAGCCTCTTCAGTTTGCTAGGTGACCTGGATGCACGGACTCAACCACGGAACTCACAGTACTATATCGCGCCGGGAACCTGGCCACCTAAGGGTTTTTGACCTGTTTTCGCCTTAATACAAGCTTTTTCTGGGTTTTGCCGTAACCCATGCGATAGGCACGCATCCCGGGAAGATATTAAGTATATTCCCAGAATTTTTCACCCTGATTTGAGCATGATACAAATATAATTGTTCGGGACTTCCCAAAAGGGGAAATGGTGCCGAAGCTGGCCACCACGAATGCGCCATTATTACGGGCCATTACGCGACCGCGATCTTGACTATGATGCATAAGGGGTTCATACAATGTATTCTTGTCACAGTCATTGAGCATTGAAGGGTGTGAGCCTGTGTTAACGACATAGTTTATGACCCCAATTGGAGCTTGGAAGGCCTCCCGAGATCTAAACGACGCTGAGGCATCAATGATAGGGCATGGTTGGCCAAAATAAGCTTTGGGGAGGTTCATTGGAAGTTAATGAACATACCTCACCACATAAATTCACGTCTGAAGGGGTCTGCGGAGAACCCGGCATTTGATCTTTTTTCCGGGGTGAAAAGTGTTCTTTTATACCTTTTCCCCCACGAAGCATGACAGTGATCGATTGGCAGAGTGTGTAGTCCGCTATGTTAAAGTTTGACCCGATATAATGCCCTGGACAAAACTCGAAGAGTGTCTTCTGGACGAGCGCGTCGGTATCTTGAGTTGAAGATAAAGATCGGTAAGTCAGAGCAGGAATCATACCGGCAGACTGGTACGTGCTTGCAGCCATTCAAGGCGTGGACCGGACCTCTATGACAGAGCCCAATGTTGGGAAAAAATTTAGAATGCTTAATCTCGCGAACTGGTGAAGAATTGGACGAGAAAGAGACGAAATAGTCGCGCGGAGTTAACTAAACTGATTTTCTCACCCTCCGACGGGGATCAACCCGGGCACAACTCTTCATGAGTTGGACTGTGCCGTGTAATGCTACCTACCTACCTACCTACCTTCATCGAAGCTTCATCAACTCATCACTTTTGGTTGAAAATCGGTCTCAAGGTGCGCAATGGGTCACATTCCACCACGGAAGCACAAGGGGAAAGTATCATCAAGTCTGTGCCCTTGTATTTCACATTTGGCCAGCTTCCTAGTGTGGCCAGCTTCCCAGCGCGATATAGTACTTAGCAACACAAATTCATACGTCCAGCGGAATTCCGTAAAGCGCATTCATGCTAGACATTGAGCAGCGAAACCATGTCATCAAAATACCTCTTACTTCTGGTCCTTGGAGGAGGCTGCGCTATGAGTTTCAGAGGCGAAAGAAAAAAATTACCCGCTTCATAAACAACCCAACCCCGAATCAAACAAAGATCTCTCACTGAACCTCTTCTCCAGCTGTAGACAAAGCAAGCGCACTAACCATTATGCCACCGGGTCATGTGTCCTATCACCTTCATAGTTTGATTGAGTTGAGTCTGAGCAAACGCGGTTGCGTCAGTGTCGTATGTATATATGCATTCATGCTCATTGACACGAACAAGGAATTAGGTAAGACTCATTCAACAGACCGTAATTTATTCTTAAGAGTAGGGAGAAGGCGCAAGTAAAATAGCGAACCAAGAAAAACACGATCCAAATGGATATGACCCAACCCCGAATCGAACGAGGATTGAGCCCTTGAAATGTAAAGGTACATACACGTATATATACTCGCAGGTCGAAAAACCCAATGTTAATTGTTCACCACCGTCCAGCACCTCGTAATCAGTGGAGCAGGACGAAGGGCGCAGCAGCTTCAGAACGGGCTGCGTCGACGAAAAAAATCTCAAGCAATTGCAGTCGAGTTCGATTGTGCTCTCGTTTCCTTCCTCGCTACGTACGGACGAAGCCAACGTTCGAACAAAGACGAATTTTGTTTCGGTCGTAATCGCAGCAGCACGGCGCGGTGGGGCGGCGATGGAACGAAGTCGCATATTCAGCTGATTTCCCGAAGGGCGCTCGGGGGACAGTAATCGATGGCGGCACAAAAGGAGAACACTGAGGACGTGGAATGTTAAGCCAAGGACGTTGTCCAAAGTGGAAGGTTCGAGCACAAGTGAATAAAGGAAGGTTCATTGAAAAGAAGAATAATGACGAGGTAACAAATAATTCCAGAGATTCAGAGAATACGTACGATAAGCTACCCAGTACCCATCTTGCGAGCAGACCGCCGTCGCGTGAGCGGGTGATACGCGCCCGCGAGAAGTCTGTAAGTATGAATGGACGAATGGGACGCACCGCGTACCGGGATACCTGTGCCGCGCGCCTGCCCGCTACACGCGCGGGGTGGGTGGATAGGGCTTGAGAGCGAGCCGATGGTCAGAGTATCGTGGTCGCGCGAATGCAGATCCGATGCGAAGCTAAGGCCGGCGGCGACACGTGTATCGAAGAGCGGTGGGTGCGGGGCCTTGGGTTTTGACGCGAATGGGCAGGGTGGAGGCTTGCGCGAAGGGAGCTTGGGATGCGAGAGCTCGAGGCGGTGGGATGCGCAGCGCAGTCGGTGTAAGAGTTTAACTCGCGGACGGTGGAGGACGGTCCCATTTCAGAGGCGGGGGGCGAGTACGGCGTTGTGGGCTGCTGAGCGATGACTCGGACCCAATGCGCGGCGCGTCAAGAAAGATACCTACGCGCCTGCGATGAGATGTAAGTAAGAAGCAATGGATGGATGCATGACGACGTACGGGGATGTATGCGCAGGCTCGGTGTTCGTCCGTGCACGCCGGGCTTGAGAGCGAGTAATCGCGTGGTGCCGGAGAAGATCCTCAGTCTTGATGCGCAGTGGGCGGGCGTCGGTACTTGGGTGGACTCGCAGGGGCTTTGCGCAGCGCGACGTCGATGTTGTGGCGGGCAGCTCGAGTCGGCCGGACGCGGGGTGTTCATGCGTGCGGGTCTGCTTGAGGGAGTTGAGTCGTGGGATGCGCGAAGTTCTTTTGAGTTGGGGACAGCAGCGCGCGGAGCCGGGGAGCGCAGTGGTGGTGAAGACGGGCACCAAGCGTGCCGGTGCGGTTTCGATGCGATGCGATGCGCGGAGGCCGGGCGGGGCCGTCTGTCGAGGAGCGGCGCGCGAGCTTGAGTCCTAGAGCACTAGCTTGAGTCTTGATGTGATGCGCAATGGGCGCCGGAATGTGGGCTTGCGGGGAGGGAGCTTGGGGGAGGCGTCGTTACTCTGATCTTGAGGCAGAGATGTGGAGGGCTGCTTGAGGCAAACCAGACGCTACTCGATCGCTCGCGGGTGCAAACCTGTACTTGAGCGCGATCGAGTCGGTGGATGCCCACAGGTCAGGGTGAGGCGTGGAGTTGGCGTTGCTGCCCGCGTATGTGCTTGAGAGGAATCGCGCACGCGGGACGGGAATGCGGCGGGGTGGAAATCGTGGCAAGGGGGTGGTCTTGCGGGACATTGGCAGGCGTGTCGAGTCGTTGCAGAAGTTAGTCGAGGTCTAGCGTAGGGAAGTCTGGCTGAACCGCAAGCTCAAAAATTTCGGCGAACAGTTCTGTGGGCAGTGGCACGACATCGCTTTCAATTGTTCTGGGAGGGATAGTATTTTGCTTTGTGGCGCTTGTCATGGCCGTGTAGGCGATTAGAAGCAGTCAGAAACGTCGCAGTTGAATGCGCACCTGCAACGCACCTGCGGTCGGACCAAAGGACTCGCGACTGCGCCGGAAGAGAGCAAGGAGAGCCAAAGATAGCGAAGCGAGATTGGGGTTAAGTTGTATTCGCGCCGAGTGATACAGGGGAATTCGCGAGGAAACGAATGTTCAAGAACAACCACAGGTGGAACAGGGCAAGACCAGAAGAAGAACGAGCTCGAGGTTGAGAGCAAGTTGAGAGCGTTGATTCCCGGCGGGCCGGCATTACGTGTCGCCCTTCACCCTTCTTTGCTCTCTTCGACGACGGTCGAAGGAATGTACTTGGGATGTGCAACAACGACAAGGATAAGAACCTAGACAGACGAAAGAATTCATGTGACGTACCCAAGAATCGAAGCGCTATGACGGAGAACTTCAAGTAGAATCTCGCAGAGCTCCGAGTTGACGACACCTGCCGCAAATCCTGTTCGCGGCCGCGGGTAAATCATCTTGGGCTGAAGATTTAATTAAGGCCGTAACGAGATTGCCGTTTCACTGCCCAGAGTTCCTCCTCACGCGCGCAACTTCGGTTGATGATGTGAAGGATTGCTCAAAACTGGTGCAGAAGCTCATGTTGGAATGGCTGCAAGGTGAAATTGACTCGTCTGAAAAGCTCTACTTGCTACATGGACGTCGAGAACCCCAAAAAGACAAAGGACCTACCCAAGTTACTTCGTACATGCGGCATTATCTCACGATGGTGAAGACACAGGAACACCGCGAGGCTATTACCTCCGTGTTGCTCTCTACCCATCGCCTCGCCCTCGAAGTCTTGCGTTACGTCGATCACGCGCATCAACCAGCCCCTCGAGCGGAACGGCTGTGCAGATTCTGTAAAAGACCGAAGTTGAATCGCCGGAGCATGCCCTAATTACCTGTGAGTCATCGGCCACAGTGGTTTAATTACGGGCTACCTTCCTCGCGAAACTCTTCGCCGATCTTCCAGAACTGCGCATCCAGATGGTGGTACTCTCGAACACGGAGTTCCTCAAGGCCATCATTTATCCACGCTCGACTATTCCACTGGTTGCAAAATTTGCGTTTGATGTCTTGGAGGTGTTTTCCGAGGTTCCGGTGTGGCGTGTAGGGGCTTTGAGGCTGACCAGTGCTGACGTGACAATTCAAATTTTAGCTTTTTCATGTTCTGCTGCAGTTCTACCTCGGCGAGTTTGGGTGTTTTGCGATGCCCCGCTGCGACCGAAAGCTCGGCTGTTGGGATATGGAGAGGTCCAGGGAAGATGGTGCAGCTATTTAGTGCGTGTACACCGGGATAATTCCTGGAACCGGCGTTCCTGAGCGGGACTGTGCCGTGTAATCCTACCTACCTACCTACCTACCTGTGCCCCTCTTCCTCGCGCAGGAGGCGGATCAGCACGAGCAACAACGACCGCCATCCACTTCTCCCAATTGCAGTAGCAACAGCGCGCGCGCTGTAGAGTCTGACGAACAGCAGCTCAAGCCATAGTGGTCAGAGTCCTTAGGTGCAACAAGAACCGGTCGACATCTCTTCTGTGAGTTTTTTCTTGCTATTTCCCCGACGATCCCCGTTTCTCATCTTGAGCAGTTAGTTGCGGCATGTGCACGACGAAAATACAAGAGACTACATAATGTAACCATCTATGCAATATTACCGTCCGCACTTCATTATCTCCGTTGACTGAAAGATCACCGGCTGCACCCCGTTCTCTCGCATTCGCTCCATGATAAAGTCAATGGGGGTAGCGTACGCGATGTCTGACGCCTCTGTCGGCGTTCGACCCACTCCCCCAATGAGCAAGCCACCGATCCGCCCCGTCCCATCGACGATGACCGCGCCCGAATCGCCCGCGCTCGAAAACGCCCCTACGCGTTCGCTGTAGGACAATATCGCCCACTCTTTGGAAGTCCCCGGGATGCCGTCGGTGTGGTGCCACGCGTACGACACCAGGTTGTTTGCCCACCCCCGTGTCACGTCCGTGGTGGCTCCGCACTTCAAAACGAGGAGGGCGGGCTCATCGTGGGGATCGCGGGTAAGAGGTGCTCGGAGCTCGGAGGTAGGGATCGTGCCTCGCAGCGGGAGGAGGTGGTGGAAGGGGACAGGTAGCCGGTGGTGGAAGGGGTATCCAGTATATTTGCTGGGGATTTCGTTGCTCCCGAGGTCGATGGTATTCGCGAAGGACTGCGAAGGGTCTATCTTCGAGGGGTCCACTTTGATGAGGGCCCAGTCTTCCGTGAACCCTCCAGAGCCTGCGTGGATGGCGATGGGCGGTGAAAGCACCACATGGCCGAGAATGCGGTTCGACAGGTCCTCCCACTCAGCCAAGCTCGCCTCAAATGCCAAGGCATAGTCAAGGTCTTTCTGGGCAACAACGACTTCTACTTGGTCAGCTCTACCCCACACCACTTGGTACTGCACCATCTCAACCCTATTACGATACACGCTCACCGCCGTGGCCACCGAAGTCGTGAGGGTATCGAGTGCGTCCTCACCAAGGAGAACCACTTGGTGCAGGGGCTCTGTGTCCTCGGACGACGCGTAGTGGTGGTTGTCCGATTCCGGAAGGACGACATGGCGGCAGGTAACCAGCAAGAGCACCGACGGGTCTCGCTCGTCTACCAGCCAGAAACCCCCCGTCCCCTTCCGCTGGAGCCTCGAGGCCGGCGAAATTGACAAACCAACTGAAGCTGTCAACGGTTTCCGGAGATCATACGTAGCGTACGGCCATAGGTAGCCTTCTTGTTCGAGAAGCGCAGGGCCAACGGAGCGCGTCACCACTGATTCCCGTATCTCGACCTCGACGTCCGCGAGATCGTACTCCAACAGAATCTCGCGACACTTGGAGACGACGACGACGCCTTTATCGCCCGACAGAGATTCTGGCATGACGCCGATCCAGAGCACGACGAATGAGGAGGAATCTGAGTCTTCGGGGACGGCGATGCGCATGACGTCGGTGGATGTCCATTTCACATCCAACGAATCCAGCAGGGTGTGGATTTTGAGGGCGAGGTCGTCCTCCCATACCTCCTTGATGGCATGGTTTCCCACTGGGCGAAGCTCCTTGGGTTTGGGGATTTGCCACGGTCCTTTAGGCAAATACCATGGGGCGCCGGTGCGGGCGACCAAGCGCGGGTTTGAGGACAGGCCACGATAGTATAATGCAGATTCGAGATCCGATGGAGGGAAGGATGGGAGGGACATGTTGAGGCAAGACGGGTAAGTACTCTGTGGCCGTAGCAATAGGAGTAGCAACGAAGCTATGGTCAGATAGGGGGTGAGACAGGAAGATTTCCTGCTTCCGGAAAGACATGCATAATCTCTGGGACTTCATTTGAATTGGATCTAGAAAGTATTCCCTCATAACGTGTACAAATTCTCTTCGGTGACCTGCTATTCACACCGGTATTATCTGTGACTGGTTACCGGGCCACCTTAACACTTTTGGCCCCTGGCCGACTCATAGAGTACTACAATTGCTGAGTTTTTCGCTCTTGAATGAACCTTTACATACCAAGAGTGACATGAGACACTTTGGACCAATTTTATGTGGCCATCTGCGCGCTTGCTGAATTTATTTTCGGCGCTACCCCAAAAGGGGAAAAAACGCCTTAGCGGGCCATCACGCTAAATAGGTCCTTGTTCTTCAGGATGGAGAGCCCAATGCATTCAAAATCACTCATAAGGTTGCAATGCATCATTAGAAGCACTCAGAGCATTAGTTTAAGGTGTACAGGGATCAATATTATCGGCCATTCTCCGGATGGAGGCAAGGGGATATTGGGGTATTGACCGAATGGTGCGAACTGCAAAGACCAGAGAGGTGTTTCGGTCCAAGTGGAGATTCAAAATGTTAAATAGGAAGTATACCGACTTACTTAAGTAGATTTCATGTCTTCCTCATACCAATAACCCCTAGAACAAATCCATTTCTATGTGCGACAAAGCTTTGATGATTTGGCGTAATGGTGGGTGGTGACCGCCAGGTAAGATAGTATAGTGCTTGGGGACCTGGGAGAGGATCAGAACACATGTCCCAAAGGTACATACCAAAAGTCAGGGCCGAGACCAGGCGGGGTGCATCCCTATAGAATGGTCTCTACTTCGCCACCCAGCAACAGATTTGGCCGTTCTCGAGCGGTTTATCAGAGAACCTTGGGTCGTTCTGAACTGTAGAGCCAATCTATTAATGCCTACTTGATAGCGGGAACAAAACGAGCCCTCAAACTCGTCAATCGGCCGAGAATTGGTGGCGGAAATCGGGAAAGAAAAGCGTGGGTCGGTTCGGAGATAAGAATTGATTGATTCCCACCCCGCTCCCGGGAACAAACGGGGCACAGCTTATGATCAACGGATCACTCGGTCTCAAAACTTGATGCACAACACCGTCTAGGATCCCACTTCATCCCACGAGTCCCAATACCACATATTTCTGCAGGTAAATCCCTCTATTCCCAAAGTGGCCCACTAACTAGTTCGGCCCGGTAAGCAGTCGCTGATAATTAAAGAAAATTCACACGGTTCAGCTAGAATTCGCACGGTTCAACTAGAATACGATCAAGTTAAATCCATGTCAGAAATCGAGAATGTATGCACTCTATCAAGATACCTCCTCGCTTGAAACAAGTTCTAGGGGCGAAATAAAAAATAAAGACAACTGACCCAACCCCGAATTGAACGGGGATCTCTCACTTAACGTGTCGTTCATATGCAAATAAAGCAAGTGCATTAACCACTGTGCCATTGGGTCATTCTTTTTAGTTTGCTAGGTAACCCAGATGTGCGGAATCAACCACGGAGTTCACAGTACTTAGTAACACAAATCCACACAGTTCCAGTGAATTCCGTAAAGCGCACATTCATGTTAGACATTGAACAGCAAAACGATGTACATAAAAATACATTTTAGTTCTGGTCCTTGGAGGAGGCTGCGCTATGAGTTTCAGAGGCGAGAGAAAAAAGAAAAAAGAAAAAAGATTAACCGGTTCATAAATGACCCAACCCTGAATCGAACAGGAATCTCTCGCTGAACATCTGCTCCACTTGTAGATAAAGCAAGCGCACTAACCATTGTGCCATTGGGTCATATGCGTTCCTACCATCTTCACTGTCTAGGTATTCGACAAGTGTACAAGTGGTTTAATTGAGTTGAGTCTGAGCAAACGCGGTTGGTCAGTGTCGTGTGTATGCATTCATGCATGCTCACGAACAAGGAATTAGGCAAGACTCCTTCAACCGACCGTAATTTATTCTTAAGAGTAGGTAGAAGGCACAAGTCACCGGAGTTTGAGGCAAATTTTTCATCGCCGGAATTTCGCCAATACTGGGTGTATTGGCGAAATATTGGCGAAATATTGGTGGAAATATTGGGCTGCCATTATTTCGACAATACAACACGTATTGGCGGAATATCGGCGCGCGTTTTGGACTTGGCAAACTTCTGGCGTTCTGGGCGCTTACATAACATTACCTCTTGCTTCCTTCCTCCATGGCGCGATGACGCGGCCGCGATTGCGGCTCAACCACTGCCTCAATTCTCTCCAAACTTCGCTATCCTCTTGTTTCACCCGCTCCCCTGCCCTGGCCCAGTTTTCTGGCCGATCCTCTCCCAAATGCGCGCGCGACAGACCGTTCCAAACTGCGACCAAAGTTGACTCTCCACGGTAGCTCTGACGCGTCCTGTCTTCCCAATTGCAACAAGTTTGACCCTCAACCAACGTGTTTCGTGAATTAGGGTATCCAGCGCAGTCTTGGAGGAAAGGGAGCTCGACAAATGTACGTCAGGTGTTTATTCTCTCGGTCTCAATATCAAAGCCTCCTTGGGTTCCTGCAGATTCATCGCCAACGCCATGAGAGTGTGAGTTCCCCGCCTCGTCTCCAGGCGCGTGCGCTCACGTCCCCTTCATTTCAGAGGGGCATTATGGCGATGTCGGTTCGCGAGATTACTTCATCCGTGTCAATTCACATCTTTCATCCCCGGCCACACTGATATACCTCCCTCGGCGCCAAACAGGCACGAAGGACGTTGGGATTCAGCAGGACAGCGCCAGCCGCGCATGAGTACGGCGCATCACGAGAAATGAATGTCCAGGTGCGTCTTTGGCCCTTCACACTCTTACTGAATCCTACTGAATTATCACAGTTTATGCACGAGCAGCCGTAAAACGGTTCATTTATTAGGTACGCCCATATACATGTAGCACCTATGCATTATCACCTTGTTCTTACTCAGTCTCATGCAGCATGCCGCCGCTCACGCTTTCCCCATCACTCGAGGCGCCGTCGCTGAGACCGCCGCCAGGAAGCAACGAGCGGGGCGCGCCGGGCTTTGCGCTATGGTGTGTGTCTGTACGAGTATCCCGTTGCCTACTGTAGTGTGCCCGTGCTCCGGTTTGAATCGTCAGCGCCGCTTTTTGTTTTGCAAGAACGCGAAAGGTACGCAATTGCAACTTCTCCCTCCGTTCCCCCCTTTTGTCTTCCCGTCCCCGTCCTTCCCTCCCTTCCCCTCCCTCTCTTTGCTGTCTTTGCGCCGTTCACGGCACCGGATAAGCGTCGTTCACGACATCGAGCACCGGACGCAGTGGCTGGGCAGTTTGCCGTATGTGGAGTTTGAGTCCGGTGTCCATGCGCCGGTGTCATTGGGATCCGCTGACGCGGCTGCCCATGAGGGAGGATAGATAGGATGCTCTTGTTGTAGCACAACTTGAATACAACGATGAATTCTCGAGTGCAATGGACGAGAATGAGCTAAAAATAAGAGCGCAAAAAACCTCACGCCAATATTCCGCCAATATTCGCGCCAATATTTCGCTAATATTCGCCCGAAATGCGGTATAGTGGCGCAATATTGGGCTGAGCTTTTTTCGCCAATATCCCGCCAATATCACACCAATACAGGGCATATCGGCGGGATATCGGCGACCAATTTTTTGGCTCAAACTCCGGTGAGTGAAATAGCGAACGAAGAAAAGAAAAAACACAATTCCAAATGGATATGACCCAGCCCCGAATCGAACGGGGGCCTCTCGTTTATATAGTTGCCCTTGCGTAAATAAAGCAAGCGCACCAACCGCTGTGCCACTGAGTCGTCTACCTTGAATTAGTTAGAGTGATTGATAGCAATTGAGTCAAATCCAAGTAAAAAGTTCAACTGTCGTATGTTGGGCACAAGGCCTTCAAGCCGTGACTTATCTTTGAGAGCTAGTAAAGTAGGAGGCACAGTTAAAAAAGCACGCAAAGACGAACAACAAATAAAATGAAAAATCTCAACGCTTGCGGCAGGACCCAACCCCGAATCGAACGAGGATCTCTCGTGTAAACTTGCACTACTCTCCGTAAGTAAAGCAAGCGCACTAACCGTTGTGCCATTGGGTCATTGATGTTGTCTGGCTTGCTTGGGACTGGGCTGAGACATAGAACATGGGCGCTGGCAAGTTCCTCCCACATTTCGAGACATTTCGAGCAGCGCGCGCCTTTCCAGAGTTTTGTGCTTGCAAGTAGCCATAGACCTCGGGGTGGCTTTACGGTGGTGAATGTTAACTTGCGCTGCGCGCCATTGATTATCCAAAACCCGAGACGTTCAATGTTTCGAAGAGGATTGGAACCGAGATTAATTGACAAGCAGGATGTGGCTTCGGAAATCGGTGTTCAAACGCGAAGACGATAAGTAGGTAACGATGCACATCGCTCCAATTAGAATTTCGGTGCTCTGTAGTTGGAGTCGTTGGTGAGGGCGCTGATTTCTTCCCGGCCGACGGTGGCCATAATGTCGGCGATGGGTAGCAGCCGGATGAAGAGCGGACTCGATGGAGGTCAGAGACGCATAAGGCGGGACGTCGACAAGAGAGAGAGGCTTGCTAGCTGGCAGCAGGAGGTGAATGGTGGGCGCCAAAGGACAGCGGGGCGTAAGGTCGGGATAAAGCCTGAAGCAATCGGATTCATTTAAGAGAACGAATAGTTACAGAGATTCATACAATACATACGCTAAGCTACGCGCCCGTGGTACCCGACTTGGGGTGGGTGGGTCGCAGATTGAGGCGAGGGGATACACACGCGCCAAAGTCAGTAGGTATGAATGGACGAATGGGACGCACCACGTACCGGGATACCTGTGCCGCGCGCCTTCCCGCTACACGCGCGGGGTGGGTCGGTGGGGCTTGAGAGCGGGCCGATGTTCAGGGCGTCGTGGCCGCGCGGATGTGGATCCGATGCGAAGCCAAGGCAGGCGGCGACACCTCAGGAGCGGCGGGTGCGAGGTCTTGGGGGCCTTGACGCGAATGAGCAGGTTGTAGGTTTGCGCAGATGGAGCTTGGGGATGGGGATGCGAGGCAGCGGGTTTGAGAGTAGCACGAGGAGGGAGTCGGTGTACGATGATTACGAGACCATCCGCGTTGCAAGGATAGTACCCAGCTTGCGGCGCGCGTGAGTCTGGAGCGAGGGAACAACTAAGTCAGTCAGGTCAAATGCATGGTGGTGACGGCGACGTATCGCGTGGCGGAGATGCGTGCCCGAATGCGCATGTACGCCGGGGTCGGGGTTCGTTGGAGCGCGCTGAGCTTGAGAGCGACCGGCCGGTGGCGAAGGTGGCATTGTGACCGAGGCGCGCAACTGATCCATTAACGCGGCGCAGTTGGGCGATACGCCGGTCGAGCGCACAGGGGAGCTTGAGGTCTTGGTGCGCAGTGGGCGTCGAGGAGTGGGGTGGGGTTCGATATTACTCGAGGTAAGCTGCTCGAGGCTGCGGGTAGCTGCTCGAGCCGGGCTGGCCTCGCTGGGCGTGGGCGCGGCCTGTAGTCAAGCGGCGGGTCGGGGTGAGGCGTGGAGTCGGCGTTGCTGCCCGCGTATGTACTTGAGAGGAATCGCGCGCGCGGGACGGGAATGTGGTGACGTGGCAATCGTGAGCGAGGTGATCGTCTTGTGGGACGCGCCGGTGTGCCAAGCCGTTGCAAGAGTTGGTCCAAACCCAGCGTAGGATAGGCGAAGGTGTGCGTTGGAATCGCGTCGTTGATGTGCGCGCCGTCGTTGAACGCGATGATGGTGACGGCGGTGGTTCTTGTTGGACGTTCTTGATGCGCTGCAGACGCCGAGGGAGGGCTGGCGGGGAAGGACATCACGACGTTGAGGTTGGAAGAGTTTGAAAGGAGATTGCACTCACGTACCACCGATCATCAGATATTGTTGATCCTTTAACGGCCCGACGCGGCAAGTTGAACTTCGGGTATCTCGGGCTTGTTCAATTCTAGCCCGTGTCCCGAGAGCACAAAACCTTTGACATGCAAGAAAGAGTATTAGGACGATTCCTTGATTTGAAATAAATAGGGACACCGACAGACAAAATGGTACTCATCTTGGGGCAAAAGACTCGAGAGAGTAGAGGTCGAAAAGGGGAGGAATCTATTTAAATAATGTGCACTCTAAACACTGCAATATTTTGTATACGGTGTACATCGTTTCGGTCAAAATGGGCATATAATACCATCTACTCTCTGACATCCAAGCATCTCAAAAGTGCATCGCACGACGTGTCCTGTCAGGCAAATCAGTACAAAGCCAAGGGAGATGAGAAGGAAAGGGAAACACACAAGGGAGGCACTCACGGCCGCCTGCAAGACATTCGACAGCGCGACGTTACCGCTGTACGCCAACTTGGCCAAAGTGGTGGTGCTCCCGGGACGTATTTCGGCCTATTCGGTGCGGGCGACGCCGTCGGGTCCTCGACAACATTGCCATAGATCATCTGCATGGTGGAAGAGAGGGTTGCCTCGGCGGCCCGTGCGATTCTAGATGCCGAATATTGAAAACTGGAGCAGGAGGGTGGTGAGTATGTATCAGCTGTCAATGTGCGAGGTCACTGGCAGAGGAGTGCCAAGAGCCGGCACCGATGAAGGGTGGCATATCGGTGAAGGATGCGCCTGTGAATTCGATCACTGAACGAGCGTAGTGAAGTGTGGGAGCTGCATACCATATACCTACCGATACATCCGGCTGGCCCGCGCCAACACCGGCAGCACTCCAAAGTTCCGGCGGGCTGCAAATATGTCAAAGCGAGTGAGATGAATAGAGTGGGGAGAAACTTGACCAGAGCCTGAGGAGGATCAAGTCCTTAACCACGTCCGCAATAACTTCATTGTCGCTGAGACCACTAGGGTAGAGCGCGCGCACTGGGGCCGGAGTAACGGCGGTGCCGAAGCTTGCGGCTAGGTAGGCGTTGAGGTTGCTCTTATCAAGCGCGCAAAAAATGTTCCACCGTCTTCGGTGTTTCCAATCATGAAGGGCACCCCAGGGGCTTCTTTATCTCGGATGCGTTGGATGGGGTCGGAAAACAGGGTTACACTGGTTGCGAGTTCAGGTCAATCAAATCATATGGACTCACCTGAGTTGCTGGTCATTCGTCGTAGTGAGCACGGTTCACTTAAGGTTCACCCGCGTTAGCATGACGAATACTGGGCTCGAAAACGCCGAAAGTCGGAAGGAAGCAAGGACGGCATTCGCCGCCTGAGAAAGTGGTGGAATTTCATTGGTAGGGAGCAAAAAATATCGAAAAATAATACTTCAGAACCAACCAATTGATGACTACTGTGTGAAAGGGCGGAAATACGGAAGTCGGAAGGAAAGTGCAGACACACCAATTAAATGAACCCGAATTCTTCGCGTTTCGTTTTCAAACAGGCAAAGTAGCAGCCAGCTGCGTCCGAACCGAGTGGACGTAGGATGTTGACCAGATAACCATGAGGAGCCTTGAGGAAACCTGAGGGCGGTGAAAATGCATGGGTTACAGTACCGCCATATGGGGCCGGCGTGATATCTTTCCGCAAGCTCTTCGTGGACAACAGTCAAGCATTTATCGTGAAGCATCCTTCCGACAACTGATTCTTCAGAGGCGGAAATATGGGAAGTGCGGACAAACCCTCGGCCCAAATTCTTCCAAGCAACTTCCAAGTTCCCGCTTCGTCTTCAAAAAGGAACAGTACGCGAAGCCAGTCCAATTGAATCGCCAGCAACACGAGCGACTGCCCAGAGAGACCACAGAGAGACTATATCATCAGCTTGCCATTTGAGAGTACTAGTCCGAAGATCGCCGACCCAGATTTAGTTGGCAACACGATGCGGCCCGGGGCCGGCGTTACGTATCTTCGCACCAACGATTGCGGCACCTCTGAGCGGCGAGCTCCCATTTCCAGTTTTCGTCTGCTATAACAGCCGTAGCTTCACAAACGGACTACATTCTTGTGAAGATATTCGTTCACAGTGTCATTATCGTGATCGAGTTATCTACCTAAGTAGGCTCGTCGAAATCTACGGTGCGCATCAGAATATTTCACGCCATTTCAGACACTGAGGCCGACGACAGATGCTCCCAGACCTCCAAGCCGATCGCATTCGCGCGGCGGATTTGGATGCCCAAATTTTCGAGCTCAAGCGCACCCTCTACACAATCCGCGCCGAGAAGGCGCTAGTCCAAAAGCGACTCGACTCCTACAGATACCCCGTCTTGACGTTGCCCAACGAGATCATCTCCGAGATCTTCGTCCATTTCCTCCCGGTCTACCCAGCATGCCCACCTTTCACCGGGATTTATTCACCAACGAACCTTACACAAATTTGTCGAAAATGGCGAGAGATAGCGTTAGCTACGCCCTTGCTCTGGCGAGCCATGCGATTGGCTTGCGACCCTTCTTACCAAGAGGTCGACAGAAGGGATATGTGGTGCCGTATGTCGGGTCGTTGCCCGCTTTCTTTGGAAGCTGCGGACAAATGGGCTCTAGACGATCTTGCTCCGCAACGGGCGCGCTGGGAACACCTGAAGGTTCACGTTACATCTCTTTATAATATCCCCGACCTCTTTACACCCCCGATGCCTTTGCTCCGCCACTTGGATCTTGTGTTTGACGATGAGGACGACGACGACGAAGTGTCGGTCTTTGGGGAGGCACCTCTTTTGCACTCAGTCATCCTCAACGACGTCGCTGCGAAGAAATTTGTCCTGCCATGGGTGCAGCTGACTTCCTTGACTTTATGCGCCACGTATGGTGACTGTGCCGCAGTATTAAAGCGCACACCAAACTTGGTTCATTGCAACCTGGATTTTACCAAACGCTACGGCACCACTGGCACTTTGCCCGACTTCACGTTTCTGCACTTAGAATCACTAGTCCTTGCCGATGACTACCCCAACGCCAGAGATTATATGGGGACTTTTATCCTTCCCAGTCTTCGGGAGCTCCAAATCGCAGAAAGACTCCTTGGACCGACCCCGCCCGATTCGCTAGCATCATTCATATCGAAATCTGGGTGCAAGCTGCGGAAAATACGCATCAGAGGGCCGAGAATTGTCTCTCAAGACGCCTACGGTGCAGCGTTCCCCTTGATTCAGT